TAACAGATAATTCCTGTGGCAATAGCCCCAAAAGTGTTGGGGATATTCCATCTATCAGACAAGATCCAGACAACGATAACGGAAAATCAGTTAAGGGTTAGGAGTTGAGTGCTTGAACCCACAGTCTTTCACTGTCTGCAGCCAGTCGTGGGAAGGCAACTAAATTATTTAAATACGATCTTAAAGTACAAATAAACCACCCTATATTCCTATAATGTAAAACTTCCAACCTCCACCCTTTTATGATATGTAAAAAAAAGGCAAAATATTCTCATAGTAGAAATAGAGTTAATAGACCATCCTATATTTCTACAAGACTCCCATCCTCCACCCCTTTTATTTAGTAATTATAAATGATGTTAAACGGAACTAAAACCCTTACCTTAATAATTCGTAATTCCCCATCATTCTACCTTTCTCTTCAAAAATTGTTCTAGTGTAAACCGAGTGAGAAGAGACAAGTCCATCTACCTGAAGTTGGGCTTTCCGCCCTGGTATGATGAACAAAATACCTAAATATTTTAAAGTTAGTTACTTATAGGCCAAGGATGACCTTGAGTAACTAACGACCTTTATGTTTTTCGCAAGATAATTTCCGTAATCGAGAGTTTAGTTTTTAATAAGCCTCCCAGTGCTGGGCAGAGGACAGATACCCCCCCCCCCTTGTGCAGCTTTGTGTTTTACTACAAACAGACAAACTTTTAATATTATTTCACGTTTATTGTGAAATAATATTTTTTTTTGTATATGCCAATCCTTATAATCATTATTTTTCAATTTATTTATAAGTAATTAAACATTATTCATAAAATAATTATTATTGTTATACATTGTTATTTCTACTTTAAGGTTGTAGCAAAATAATTTAACTGCCTTCCCACAACTGGCTGCAGACAGTGAAAGGCATTAGGAGTTCAGACATTGGGTTCCTAACCCTTAACTGATCTTCCGTAGTTCCTGGCTAGTTTAAAATCGGCATCTGGATCTTATCTGGTAGATGGAATATCCCCAACGCGTTTGGCTGCTATGACCACAGACATTATCTGTTATGAGTTTTAATGATGACAACAAGGACCAGTAATGGAAAAACTCATTTTAATTTTTGAGTCTCATTGATATGTTTTTGATTTATTGTAATTTCATCATTATTGTTTTACAGTGCTGATTCAAAAATCGCCTGTTTACAAATAAAACATTTGTAATTTGACATTTTTCTACTTTTGTCAATATTTTCGTGAAAGTCTGACGTACAATACTGTATAAAATTTCACGATAACCCACATATATTGGTATGTTGTAAGTGGAATAGCTACTCATTTCGCTCTTCTATAAGTTATATAGAATATTACTTGAGTCCGGTATATTCAGGTAAGAAAACTGGCATGGCCTTGTGGTTAGGGCGTTCGATTTGCAACCTGTGGGTCGTGGGCTTAAATTCCGTTACCGAACATGCTCGCCCTTTCAGCTGTAGGGATGTTATAGTATGATGGTCAATCCCACAGTAGGTGATGGGTGGTGTTGACTAGCCGCCTTCCCCCTAGTTTATCGTTTATAAATTGGAGACGGCTAGCGCAGACAGTCTTCGAGAAGCTTTCCGCGAAATTCAACAAAGAAACAAATATTGAAGTCATTTTTTGTTCATTTTCGTGCAAACATTCACGTTTACCGGTTGTTGTCCAAAGGTCATATGTACGTGATAATGTTTTTACTTGGGTAAAGGTAACATACCGCAACTGTTAGAAGCATGTGTATGAGTTGGGAAGTTTTCCTCAGTATATGTCATTTGGAATAGTCGGTGACCGGTGGCGGCTCGTCAGAGGAGAAACTGGAAGCCATGCCTTCTCAAAGATTTTTAATATTAATAGGTATGTTTTGAACAGTTAAAAGTGAGTTTCGTTAAATGTTGAGCGGTGACTTTCAGGTAGGCCATGTCTGGCACGACGACATTACCAACGTTTTTGTAGCTGTGAAAGACAGATGGCTCAAATTGACACACAAATAAATCGAGACGTCTAAATTAATTACCCGTTTTTTTTACTGTTATGTATTTTTGGTGGTGGTGTTAAAATGTTAACAGCGAGTCGTCACTTTCGATGATGTACATATATTTGGATTATGGGATACCCTAATTGAATCCTTTGTCTGAATTGAAAGTACAGTATATCATAACTATTTCTGTACTTGTCTTGTGCAGACGTTGTACGAAAGCCTCTTTTCATAATGGAAAATGAGAAGCCGGTCAGTGTGATTAAAGATATTGTTTCCTTTGTTGTCATTGTTTGAATTAATTTCTACAGTACAACTTGTCTGCTAATTCAGAAGAAAAATTAATAGCAACAATGCTACATATCCATCAAAACCTGTATGAATATCGATTTACTGTGGTGAGTAAAAGAAGTAAATGTGCCTGGTTCGTTTGTTGTTTTTTCTATTTGTTCTCGTCTAGGGTTACTGATGCAGGAAGGAATTCTCTGAAATCTGTATAACACAGTGACAAATGGTTAATCGAATGATAGATTGGGTTTCATATTTACTTTTGGTATACTTAAATACTTCAGATACAGTTTTGTTAAAGGCTGGACGATTACTTAGTACTCTGTGTTGTTAAGCCTATGTTTGAAAAGGAAGAAGGTTTGGTTGGAAGTTGTATCTGATAAGTATGCTTGTAGTGTTCTGGTTTATTTGCTACGATACCCATATACATGTACTGTCTAACCGACATTTTATCACCCTAATCGCGACAATTTATCATCGTTGAAGTAAGAATTCAACCTCATATTTGGATGATAAAGCTTTCAAAAGCTGTGCCGTGAGGTTTTTAAATTGTTACCGTCACAACTTCTCTTCAACATTTTTAATTTCATCCAGTTAGTTTTTTTTTTTAATCAGTAAATATAAATACATTTTTTCATTTTCTATTAAGTTTAAACCTTTTCAAGTAGTCCTACCATTCCGTACAACCGGCTTAAATTTGAATCTATACTTATATAAATAAATTGCATGTGTTTACCTGAGCCTTACCTTTTTAGTTCCAACTACCATAAACTATTACAGTTGATGTTCTACTATGTCCTCAAAATTCTGTTTATTTCGGTGATTAGGTTACTGTGTGTTTATTTTATTCCGCGGCATAGAACACCACACAGGCAACTAACGTTTACAATAATGAACGAGTGGATAAAATATGCGATGGCAAGCGTTAGTTTTATCACAGTTTTAGTGGTTGTATAGATAACATAGTATATATATATATTTCTCAACTACCATTCTACCCCCCCCCCCCCCTTCCCCTCCAGTGGTAAATCTAAAGGCTTATATAACGCTGGAAACTTGGTACAGAACAGATAGCCCATTCTGTAGCTTTGTGCTTAACTTCACACAAAAAAGGGAAAAGAAAGTTGAACGAAAATGCTGGAGCTGTTTTTTAACTGCAGTGGAGCGTGTGAAGTATTAAAAATTAAAAACTGTGCTAGCAGTGTCCAAGCTAACGAGTTGTCACTTTTATATTTTTCTTAGTTTAGAAGTGATAAGCGGATCGAAGGGTCCAGGGTTCGATACGGGAGGCCGCTGAACATGCTCTGCAGTTTTAGTTGTCGGTGGATTACGAAAATGACAAACAATCTTGTTATTCGGATTAAAGACCTAAATAGAACCCTAATAGCAGTGGGTGCTGTTGACTGGCTGCCTTTTCACTGGTCAGTAGTTCTAAATTAGGGACAGGTGTGTTTCAACCCAAAGGTGTTTCTGAACTAATCTCTGAACTCAAGAGCGTGTAAAGCGCCATTCAGTTTGAAATTTTAAATTTATAATATTTCAATGTAATGGGGCGAAAAGTTATCAAAGATATAAACAACAGAAATATATATATATATTATTTTAGGTCTTAGAAAGTGTTGTCAAACTAAGGCATTATGGGAAATATTACAAACTATTACAGATAGCGCCAGATGCTAAAGTATGGGAAATATTGAAAAAGTTTTTAAATTGTCTAACAGCTTAAGTGGGATTGCGGCTATGACCTTAAAGGTATGTATCGTAACAAAAATATTAATTCGTTTAGTAATCTATTGTAGAAAACAGATGTTTTAAAATACTTTGATATTTGGCATACCTTTGTAATAAATAAAGCGTCATGTGTAGTAGTTTTAACGCAAAGCTACACAATGAGCTTACTGCACTATTTCAGTTTCACTACTGGGGATGAAACCTCGAACGTTAACATTATTACTTCGTAGGCTTACATCTGGCCCAGCGGAACAGTGACAAAGATATTCAGGTATTCTACATATGCCCCTAATAATTTGATACGACTAATATTTTGTATGTTTTCCATATTATTTCATGGTATTTAGTTTCATAGTCATCACATACTAGCACTAGTCAGTACTACGATTTTTCAAGTTGTAATAGGCTGTATCATGTATGCCTAGAATAATTATTGATTAGTTTCACATCTAAGAATCTAAACCGGATATTATATCATTCAAGTTTTTCTCTTTTAAAAATGTATACGTTTTTTTGTTATTGTAGCTGTTATCAAGCACAAAGCAACTCAAAGTGTTATCTGTACTTTGACCGCTGTTAGTATGGAAACTGATTTTTAGTGTTATAAACCTTCACACTTACCACTGAGCCACCAGAGAGCAGTAATGTATACATATTATGTTCATGCATTAGCCATTTTTCAGTTTTAGTTGGTTTGACCAGAGTTAAATAATTAAACACGCTGTTCAGTTGAAAATAATAAAAGTTAAATAGTTAACATTATTGGTTTAGGTAGTGTCAAATATAAATTTTAGAATTTGACCCTTCTATGTATCTGTCTGTATGGCATAGAAAAGAAAAAGTTGAATTCACTAGATTTCACTATCAGACTGTGTAATAAGTGCAACATACCTGAAAGCAAACTGAACAAATAGCCTGGTGGTTAGAGCACTCAGGACTCGCAGTCTGTGAGTTGTGGGTTTGAATCCCATCACTGAACATGCTCACCTTTTCAGCCTTAGAGCATTATAATGTGACAGTCAATCCCAAGAATTGGTGGCAGTGTGAGGTGTTGACAAGCTACCTTTCCTCTAGTTTATCACTTTGAAATTGGAAATGGCTAGCACATTTGGCCTTCTAATAGCTTTTCACAAAATTCAACAAACAATATGAGAAATATTTCCATTACCATTACATAAAAGACACCAATTGAAATTGTAGTTACTAACAGCACGTACACATGCATCATATAGACAAAAAAGGTTTGAGCAGGACAGTGAAAGGCAGAAAACTCGGGTCCTGAAAAGTACTAAATTTCTAAAGAAGGTGCTCTTCACAAATTATCAGTTTACAAAGGTTATGAAGTAGAATCTTAAATTATTTATAAATATTTATAATTTGCTTTAATTCTATAGATGCGTTGTGCGTAAGTTATATTTTGTTAGTTTGAAAAATGGAAAGTAACCGGAGTCATTTCTAAATCAGAATTATACAGTCATGTTTGTTTGGTTTCAGATCCTTGCTACTTTTCTCATTGTCTTACATTATTCGATATGTGAAATTCCAAAAATGAAAAGGTGGACCAAGCTCTTTCAGATTGTTTAATATGATAGGATATGCAGACTCAATTCATGGAAATGAAATAAGTGTTGTTGTTGAAAAAATAGCTTGCTAAGAAAAGAGACTTATAGTTAATTATCATATTAAAAAAAAAAGTTTCGATTTCCATAGTGTTTGTAAAGGATGTGATATGACTGCTGTTTAACCCAAGCAAACTTTTATTTGATGCAGTATTTCAACAAGAACATAAAGCTGGCTGGAGATATATCTGTAAAAAAAGCAGAAGACTCAACTGTGGGACTGTGTAGTAACAATTGTCCTAGTGGAAGGAAAAAACTTTCTCCCAATGGACGAGAATGGCTTTAGTGACCCCTATGTGAAATTTAGACTTGGGAATGAAAAGTACAGGAGCAAGGTAGAAATATTTATCTATGTATCCAGAAAATGTATTATTGTGATTTAATTATTGGGTTTCATCAGTGCTCGAATTCCATTAAAAGAAGTACCAGATCATGCTATATCATTTTACAAGTGGTTAAAAATTAACTAAAAATACCTCTACCAGAAGTTTTTCAATTAATGAAAACTAGAAAGTAAATTGCCCAAATTAAAAATTTAAACAATAAGTTAACAAAATATAAACTAAAAAAATATTTAAAAACTTGTGACAATGAAAAACTATAGTTTCTGTTCAGAAGACATTTTATCCACTGTTACTTTCACAAGACTGATCAGCTGATTAAACTGTGCTGTACGTGTGTGCTACAAGTGCATGAATTATGATAACCCAATACACCTTGGATGTAACAGAACAAAAAAGAAGTGTATACAGTATGGATTTGTCACTAGCTTCTCTAAACAACAGTGTATATTAGTTCATTTTAAGTTCAAAAGAGTAAGATTGTTATTTATTTGCTACTTTAACAACTAGTGTTTATCAAGCCTAAAGGGCCATATACATTGAATAAAATCTATGGGAGATGTTGCATACATACATACATACATACACACAGAGTAAATATCTGTTTTATACTCGGGCAGCATGAGTTTGCTGTTGCAACATCCCAGAATGAGGTAATGCTGTGGTGACAATCTTCTTTGATACATTTTATGTGTGTGTGTGGTCAAATTAAAACATAGTTTGCTTTATAAAGATTATTTATTGTCTAAAAGGTTTTAAAAAGTGTTGAAGTGACATTCCAGTGTGTACTACGATTTGAGCTGTGGGTTTCATACAAACATATACATCTTACATAGAGATCCAGAGGTTATATGCAAGATTTGAAAACACTATGAAACCTCATGGGAATTTTCTGTTGACCAGTGTGCTATAGTCAACAACTTGATAAGTGCACATTAAAGCTTAGTAAATTATTATACCTCCGTTTTATTTTTGGAATATTAAATCTGGTTCAGATCATGTGTAAAATTAAACCTGAGATGATACTTTTTTTTTGGCCTGGTTATTTGAGAGATCCATCTGCTGTTTTGCAGAAGAGTTGCATTATGACTTGTTTTCTGATTTATCAGCTGCAGAGAAAACTTGTATTATGGATGCAGTTTTGACAGTCTCAGACAAATTTTCTCTAACCTTTGAGGAGTTAAATTAATTTATTTCACCTCAAGTAGCCAAGACTCGTGTGTAGAAGTCCTGTCCCTTTTTCATTCTATTACAGTGCTGATCATGTGTATGTACTTCAAGTTAACCTTTTTTTACATTTTCCAACCATTAAGATGATCACTTGTGTTTATTTTTCAACTTTCCCGTTTTTTGTTTTTTTTTACTTCAATGAATAAAGTATTTTATTCTGTTTTGACTTCAACAATGAGTCTTTTTCTCTATCTTTCCACCTGCAACAAATCACTGCAACATCCCACAGCTTAATGTTAATGTTTACTGTACTCTTGTATTGTTATCATTAAAGGTTGATAATTGTTAGAAAAATTTTAATGTATGAAAAGACAGTTGATTTGAGAGTATTACCTTATTATTATTTTATATAATATTGTAGTACCAGGCTGTACTACTTGTTTTCCACTCTTCGAGTTTAAAGTTAAGTTCCCTGTTTTTTCTCTCTATAATTTCCAAGGTTGGAACATAACATTGCTCAAGCAAATTTCTAATTTTGATCTTCAACAGAGGCTTATTAGGTCAAATGGAGATTATGCACTTCTTTGTCTGATTTTCTTGCTGGAATAAGGATCTTCTTTTTAATTAGCCTGCCAAATCATTCTTGTCAGCAAATATTGCAGTAGTTGTGGGTGGACTTGTCCATGATCTTCACTGCCATTGGCCAACTTATCTAACAGGCACCAGTCACTGTTTTCTTGTTTCAGAAACTCAAGGGTTTATTGCCATATTCACAACAGTGTTGGGGCCCGAGAGATCAGATTTTAAGGGTTTTTTTATGCAGAATTTTCACCAAGATTTTTAGAAATTTGACACAGATTTTACCAGGTTATCAAGAAATTTACACATGTATAAATTTCAAAGGGATATACATAGACTAATTGAGTTAGTTTCATTTGGACCTAAACATTGTTTTTGTATTGTTTCTGTAACTTTAACTTCTACTTCAGAACTCTTAAAGTTCACTTTTTGATTACTGGTAATTGGTGTATTTTTATGTAGTTTTACACTCTGGGGACTTCTCAACTTCAGATTAACTTACATTTTCATTTGTGTAGGCACTACTTGGCTTTTGCCCATAATGTAATTAAGTAGTTGTTAAATTCCCAAATGAGTGAGCTGTGTGTAAGTTGCTTCATAGGATAGTAGAGCATAGGTTTCAGGTTTATAGAAGCTAAAGTGAGGGTTTACTTTATTGTGTTACATTTTAACTTTGGGACATTCTCTTTTAGTAACTCTTTTATATGCTAGCCTAAGTTAAAGAGGGAGGAACATGCACTAGTAAGAGCATATTGTTTACTAAGTTCTTCATTGTTTTTTTTAATCACTTGCCTTGCATGGTAGTGAATTTGTTTTATTTTTCATTATCAACTGTAAAGAATCTCCATTGAATATTTGTTCCTTGTATAAATCTATGTTCTTTTAGTAACTCTTTTATATGCTAGACTAAGTTAAAGGGGGAAGAACATGCACTAGTAAGAGCATATTGTTTACTAAGTTCTTCATTGATTTTTTTTAATCACTTGCCTTGCATGGTAGTGAATTTGTTTTATTTTTCATTGTCAACTGTAAAGAATCTCCATTGAATATTTGTTCCTTGTATAAATCTATGTTCCGTCATTATTTGTGGCCCAACTGTAACACCCATCAGGCCCTGACTTCTCTACTTTGCCAAAAATCCTTGAAATACTACAGTATTTTCACATCTAGGTAGAAGAGTGTGTGTAAACCATCTCTCTGATGCTGGGTTAGGTTAAACATCATGTTGAGAGTGAAATTATTGCAGTCTTGCTATTGGTGGATGATTATTAACTTTTATCATGGTAGATTTAAATGAATGCAAAATGTCTTCATGACATGTGAATTATTGTTTTGTTAGTAGATATATGGTTTTTGAAGTTGGGTATTGTCAACAGTATTAGTACAGCTAGTTAGTCGTATTTAACTTATTGGATCTTAATACCATCTAGAATGGCTTTTTCTATGGGTCCTTCTTTTATTATTTGAGTTCCACTTGAAATATAATTATTAATCAGTTATTAAAATTTATTGATATAATTTCTTTCTGTTTTTTTAAACTGAAATGCTTGCACTATAATTGTCCTGAATGTGCACAAGTACGTTTTTAAAAACAAAAACCAAATTGTTTAAGAGACAAACAAAATGTTTTCTAATATGAACTTTTATCAAACATTCAAGATTAATTTCTTTATAAATTTGTTGGTGAATGAATTAAATGGGTTTGAGTTTTATTTTTAAAAATTGTATTTAACAAATTTATCTAAAATTTTGTTATAATTTGTCTTCCTTAATTGAAGTTTACTATATCTAATATTTTCTGTCACTTGTTTTATATGAAAATATGAATTTATATTATTCTTACTAAAGTGAGATTTTAAACAATTTAAAACACGTACTTTTTTTTTTTACACCACAGAATGCCATCAAAACTACAAATCCTAAGTGGCTGGAACAGTTTGATCTTCATATGTATTATGATCAATCCAAGATATTGGAAATTACTGTTTGGAATAGAGATTATCATAACAGGGATGATGTCATGGGCAGGTAAGGTAAATAATTTAGATAATATGAGGAAGACATTTGGATCTTTGTATAAAATAAATGTTTCAAGAATGTTGTATTATGCAAGAGAAATAACAGGTAGAATATAAAGAAAATATGAAAGTTAATAAAAGTATACAGTTGAAACTAAACAAATTTGTGAATTTTTGTTAAATGGGTAACGTGACGAATTCATAACAAAAAAAATATATTCACTCATCTCTTAGTTTGAATGTACCCAAAATAAATAGAGATGTATAGCTTAAATCTTTTTACCATTTTTTTTTTTCAAAACAAAGTAACAAAAAGTTGGTCTACCTTAAGAGCTATAACGAAAAATGTGTTGTGTCTGTGAACATTTTTCTGTTGATTTTACACTTTTCCTTTATTATGTAGATGTTTAATCGACTTAAATACCTTAGAAAAGGAGAAAACGCACAGTTTATGGAAGGATTTGGAGGACGGAGCAGGGTCAATTTATCTTTTGCTAACAATCAGTGGCACACAAGGAATAGAAACTATTTCTGACTTATGTACATACCAGAAGCAGGCAAATGAGAGGGAAAAATGTGTAGCAAGATATGTAAGTTTTTCTTGTTGTTCTGTTCTACTGAATTATTTATTATTATACAAATTTAGCCAGTTAGTCTTCACTGCTTTGCATGTATGTACAAAATTAAACTTGGGTAATTATGCTAAACTCTGACTTAAAAAAATTGTTAAAGATAATAACAGTTTTAAATGACGTATCTATAAATATCATATTTGCTTTGTTGAACTTAGATATAAGATTAGAAAATTGTCCATAACAATTAGTAACATGCATATTGTAATACTTTTTTTCCCAATGACAGACTTTGAATACGAACATAACTCTTACCACTGCTAGGAAAAACTCTTCATTTAAGAAACTGCCTCTTTAATTCCTTGGTGTATTATTCAGTTGCACCTTCATCTCAACTACAACCTCAATCTCTACTTTAAGTTCTACATGGTGCACCGTCATCTCAACTACAACCTCAATCTCTACATCAAGTTCTACATGGTGCACCTTCATCTCAACTACAACCCCAGTCTCTTTACTTTAAGTTTTACATGGTGCACCTTCATCTCAACTACAACCCCAGTCTCTTTACTTTAAGTTTTACATGGTGCACCGTCATCTCAACTACAACCTCAATCTCTACTTTAAGTTTTACATGGTGCACCGTCATCTCAACTACAACCTCAGTCTCTTTACATCAAGTTTTACATGGTGCACCGTCATCTCAACTACAACCTCAATCTCTACTTTAAGTTCTACATGATGCACCTTCATCTCAACTACAACCTCAATCTCTACTTTAAGTTCTACATGGTGCACCCTCATCTCAACTACAACCTCAATCTCTACATCAAGTTCTACATGGTGCACCTTCATCTCAACTACAACCCCAGTCTCTTTACTTCAAGTTCTACATGGTGCACCTTCATCTCAACTACAACCTCAGTCTCTTTACATCAAGTTTTACATGGTGCACCGTCATCTCAACTACAACCTCAATCTCTACTTTAAGTTCTACGTGGTATTCGGAAGTACATTTTCATGTCAATTATACTTTACAAAGTTTACATCACCAGAGAGTCAAATGGAAGAAGAAGCATGTTCAAAAAATACTTTGGTCATGGCACAAAAATATAACTTGATAACTAGTCTGATATTCATTAGGTAACGAGAAATATTTATAAAATGTAGGTTCTGTAAATGTTATGCAGAGAACACTTCTGGAAACAAATTATTCAGGAGACTGAACAGAAGTGACTAAGGAAATAGAAACCTACAGAACAATCATTATGGCATGTAATCTTTAATAATGAAATTCTTCTGGATATTTCTAAAAAATCCTGAAAACCTCCGGTTTTCTTCCGGATAAACACATTTTTTTAAATTATTTATCGGATTTTGGTGTTCCAAGATAAGCGTTTATGCAATCGCGCGGTTTGTTTACATTCGGCGAATGAGTTTGATTTTACAATAAATATACGTCTGATTTATTTTTAGCAATGTTTTAATAATGAATCTATTCAATTTCATAATAGTGTGAACTGTTTAGTCTCAGTTGAATCGTACACATTTCAAAAACACATATGCAGTACTGAGTGCAAGTTATAAAAGCATTACTTTATATAAGTTTTGACATCCAATAGTGAAAATTATGAATTCCAAAGAATGCACTCTTGAAAATTATCCATTAACTAGGGTAATCAGATTTGATATTTCTCACATGTATTTGATATTCATTTATGTAAGAAAAATGGGGTAACTTGTTTAAGTGAATTTTAAGTACTAAAATGCAGGATTTTGGGTGCCCCGCCCCCTACTTGGCTTTGATTATTTTCAGGATTTTTAGGAAAGGGACACTTTCATCTCTGGTATGTCTGGGTATTTTCTTCAACTCTCATCTTAGTAAAGCTCAGCCTTCACCTCTTAGCTATGGAATGTATTATGTGGTGTTTTCACTGGAAATCCAGGTCTAAATTTACTACCTGGTTCTTAAAAGAAAGTTATGCAAAGTTTACGTCAAAGTAATGTAAACAGATCTGCTGACAAACTATTATTTTTAAGAGAAAACTGTAAGCAAAAATTAGAAACAAGCAAAAAAAAAGTCACGGCACACAGAGTGAAGACGAAATTGGAAGCAACCATAGTCATAGAGACTCAGGTTAAATTCTAGTGATAGGCCAACAACATTAATTAGCCAGTCATTGATCTTTAACATTAACAGTTTAGAAAAAATCCTTGAATATCTTATAAATCAAGTTATTCAACTGTTCATTATACTCTCAAAATTTGCTTATACCATACTGACTTCTACCTCTTCCATTGTCAATAATGAATATAGGAGACAGGATCAATTAAGTAAATGGCAAAGTTTCAATAGTCCATTTTAAATTTTTCTTTGTTAAATGATGTTACATATTAGAATTTCAAATGATCCAAAGCTGAGTTAACTGATAATTTAAATTTAGTAATTAAATTGTGCTTTGGATTTAGTATTTAAATATATGCCGATATATAGTCAGTTTGTAATATTGGCCAACAAGGTTGATACATAGTTTTCTTTTTTAACACAAACACATTTTAATATATACACAACAATACAATTTACAGTAACAATTATTACAAATAGTTATTACAAACAATGATTTATAAACAAAAGTTTCACGAACTTACAAGCAATATAAAGTCTTCTTTCTAGTTTGGAATTTCCTTGATATCTTATCAAGGGTTCACAATGAAAGAGTTGATGGAGATATATTTCACGTAACAGGAAGCTAGCTAGCTTTGTCTCTCACTGATCACACGCCAAATTTTCCACCGTTGAAGTTAGGTAATTTTTTCATAAAAATACTAATTCTTATTCTTGCCTATGATCACTGTCATTCATATATTTATGCTTTTGATGCTTTTTGCACTCTGTTGCATTGCTCTTATTTACTCCTCTTCCTGGACTGGTCCTTTCTTCCTAAAACTTTAGCTGCTTGGGAGGGTGATTGTTCATTATCTTCTATCTCTCACCTTGTACTTATTCAGACCTGAATTGACTCCCATGTCCAGTTCGGGCTGTTCAATGTTACTTGGGTGAACTTCTCCCTTCTAGGGTCCTTGCCATTATCTGTTTCTACACTGAGACCATTCTTCATCTAGGGACCTCTCACCTGCTACCCTTACCAGATGGGTCTGTTAACTCTTCCAGTTGTTGTATTCTTCCCTAAATATTGATACTCACAGGATATTTCATATTTTGTTGTATCAGGTTTTCTGCCTGTCTCATTCTCACATTTCTCATTCATGCCAGCCTATGGAGAGGTCCTCCAGGTGAGCATATAGACAACTCTCCACATGTTCGTCACTCGTTATCTTTATCACCTGGCTGTATTGTCTCCCACAGGATTTTGTTTTCCCCCCAATCACCATTCTTCAACCAACTCACCATTTTTGATATGGATATGTTTTCTTTTTTCTCTCCATTTGTTTAACAAGATACTGCCATGTGGCTGGTGTTGCATCCCAGGATATGTTTAATTCCTAAAATCCACATCAGGTCAGAAGTAGTGGAGAGTGCTCAACCCATCCACCCTGGCTCTACCAGTGCCCATTGTCAAGGTGGACCATCATAGAGAAAGCCAGAACCAGGGAAGTGACTGCCCACTTTGGCTCATACTTGTTAGCTTTAAAAAATAGGGTTTCGTGGTCACCCATTGCACAGTCTCCAGTAAAAGGCCTTTATGGCAGGCATCCAAAGAGGATCCAGGCACTTCTTCGGGTCTCCCCAATGCAACTCCACCCTCTCTCTCTTCAAGTGGGACACAAGAGACCCTTACCCCTAGCTGTTGTGGTGGTGGACCTTGGAGAGTTCCTCACTGATTAAGCTCAGCACAATATGGAGAGAAATAAGGTGATGATGACATTGTCAGTGTAGTGCAGATCATCCCTTAAACAGCTGCCGTGCCCAGACCACACTACAATTACTAGTTTGCTGACCCTTGTGTGCAAATGCTCAGATGGTCATGTTCTTATTCCATCCATCCCTGAAACATTTGGGGTTTATATGCTTCTCTTCCCTTTACATTCCAGGGAAAAAGTATACCCTAATCAAGATGATATGCAGTCTCCCACAAATGTGCTGCTATGAAGCTCCTGCCATTTGGTGTCGCACTCCATGGGCTTTCCCTTTGGGTGTTTTCTGAAAGGAGCTCACCTAGATTTAAATTTGCACTGGCCCTTCCAGTGTTTCAGTCAGGAACTCTAGCTATTCTTTATGTAGAGATGAGGTGTTGTCTCAGAAGTTAACATTTTCTTAATCAGAAACTGTATTTCCGATAGATATCTCTGTACACATACCTACCCAATCTCCCCACTTCCAGTACACTTTTTCTTGCCCCATCTAAGTATGAAGTTATTATGAGTGCAAGTGCTTAAGGAGAGTTACTGTGCATGGAGGTTGTCAACCTCCTATTAATGGAGGGCTATTGTTACATGATGATGTCAATATGCACCAGTGCAGTTCACGTTAAACATTTGAGTCGAAGGTGGGAGTTAGCTCAAGGCTAGCGGCATGTGTAAAGGATATAGATATTCTGTATGAAGAAGTGAGTATCTATCATAAATACATTTTCATATTAGGAAAATGTTAAAAACTTGTTTGTTTGGTGAGCTCAACTTTCTCCTTTGTGTGTGTAATACACTTAAACAGTGAGAACACCTTTTGACTTCACAAGTTTGATATTTCTGTCATGTTTTATATATATTAGGGTGGTCCTTATTTTGCAACATTTTATTTTCTATACTCTCACCAAACTAATTTGATCCAATAAGTAAATTAAACGTTTGAACAAAATTTCAACAATATTTATCAAAATTTTGAGGTTGCTCAATTAGCTAGAAGTTTAAAATAAAAACTGCATATTTGCTTAATATGCCTTATGCTCATTGTCTGTTTACACACAACCTACAATGTAATATATAATACTTGTATGATTAAAAATTAGTCATATACACAGTAATATGACAGTATGACTGAGTATGTTGTGAATTGTTCTTTTATGTTATGGATCTAGTATTGTCTGATACATCATAATTTACGATTTAAACTGAAGGCTTGTTGCGGATATCTGCGAATTGCTAACATGGTAAGAATTATTTAAGGGAAAATATATTATGTATTTAAACTGTTAATCATTTTGTATTGTATCTTAATGCAATCTAGAATTTTCCAGAACATTCTTTAAAGATCTATAATATTCTTTGCTCTTCTCTAATTTTCTAGAATGTTCCATTTAGTTCCACAATATTCTTTATTGTTCTGTAGTGTTCCATAATATTCTGTAATATTGTAGAATAATCTTATTCTATAAAGTTCTGTGAACAATATATATCTTTATAAGGAATTGACACTTGAACAGATTATAAATTCAATAGAATTTGAGAAAACAAAAATGAGATATGAATTGTGAGTTATACTGTAGGATAAATAGAGCTTGTGTGTGTGTTTTTTATCATCACATGACTTTGAAAAAACAATCCATGAAAGTGCAGCAGCTGTCACCGGGAAGTTTCAGTATTTTGAAACAAAGCTAGAATTCCAATACGATCTGCACAGCATGCTATCAAATAGCTTGAAACACTTTTTGAAAACTGGGAAAGCTAAGGAAAAATTCCACTTGACAAACAGAGATGGAGAGAGCCAATGAAACAGCTTTTACTGAACAACTAGATGGTCTGTTTGATATTGCTTATAAAGATGCCCTTGTACTAGTCAAGATACCAGAAGACAGAGAATTTCTCCTTGCACAGAAAGAAAGAAAAGATGTGGGGGATGTATGGACTCAGTAGATAATGTATTAGGTTGTCAAGAAATTAATGTTGCTATTTTTTAGATGAAAAACCTGAACAGCTTATATATCAAAACAAAACATTTATTTAATGAAATAGTCTCCATCCTTATCTGATGCTTTTCCATCTTATAATCAGGTTGTTAATGCCCTGATTAAAGAAATCACTTGGCTTTGAAGCAAAAAACATGTTGATGTCCTCTTTAACACCTTCCATATTTGCATACATTTTCTCATTAAGATGGTGTTGAAGCGAAAGAAAAATATGATAATCTGATGGTGCCATATCTGGAGAATGTGGTGGGTGGGGGAGAATTTCCCAACCCAACTCCATAATTTTATGTTGTGTTAAACGTGCCACATGTGGACGTGCATTGTCATGGAGAAGAAGAACACCATTCTGATTGACAAGTGAAGGGCATTTCTGATGAAATGATTTCTTGATTTAAATGTTCCAGTTGATGTCTATAGATATTTGCATTGATAGTTCTGTGTGGCTTGAGGAATTCAAAATGAAGTACTCCTTTGATGTCCCACCAAATGCAAAGCAT